AGTGAAGTTTTATTAAAGTTGAATATTGTTAATATAAATTACATCAGAGCCCTCAGAGGCACAAAAAATAGAGTTTGCAATATGCAAGTAGAATATTATATTAACACATTAGTGGCTTTTTGCAATTTTAATGACAAGTAATTGTAATCATTTAAAATATATAATTGTAACATTTGTTTTTATTATATTAATAATAATAATACTTATTATTATTATTGTTATTAGCAAAAAATAAGAATATTATAGACTGCAAAGAGGAGAGAGGGGTATTTTGTTAAGCGCTCCATGCCTGGTTTGTTATGGGCTGTGTGTTTTCGAGGCTTTCGCTTTGGGGGTGCTGGGAGTGCAGAAGGGGGCGCGGTGCTAAATCCCACTGCATTGGCTTACTCCAGTGATTAGCCTTATCAGGTCCTGACATCCGTCTAGTGATTGTAAAGCCCAAGCTAATCGCACAAGAAAAAGCATTTAAATCTATATCCATGTTGAACCGGGTGTGTGTTTATGATATATCTTGCCCTCCCTTGTCTCCTACCTCACTCGTATTGAACACACCTTTGCCCCCCTCCTGTTCACGAGTGGTTGAGCAGGACCCTGGTGAGATAATTGAATTGCAGCTCTGAAACAGATTGAATTCAGTGTCCACTGAGCAGAGAGGTGCTGCTGCATGCTGGACATCAAGATGGGCAGCACTCACCACTCTTTCTGTTAGATTAGGAAAGGTGGAATGGAGAGGAAGAGGGGTAAAAGGCTTCTGAGAGGGGCATCTGCATTATTAATGTGGGCCAGATTGGGAGGACTTGTGCCTGTCATCTAACCATGTTTCCATGAAGTGCTAAATGTTGAGCACACATTGTTCAGAAATGGACTGCATGAACTGCTGTGTGTTATCTAAGTTCATGGTGAATTTGCAGAGTGTGAGGATAATGCTTAGACATCACTTTGCTGCATTTGGAAAAAGATTCATTAAAGCTGTTGTTCACTGTCATGTACCTCAGGAGATAGAAAACTTGTAAATGTGTTGGGTATGTGAGCAGTCAGCATTGTAATCTTACTCCTCCTCCCACACTTTCCAAAACTGACTGCAGGCCAGCTCCATACTAGATGTGCTGCATGTAAGAGGGGATATGCCCCCTTTTCCTTTTCAGAATAAACTAGGTCAATGAGCAGGTTCATAAATCATTGTGAAGCCTGTGTCAAAAATGCTACCTGCAGCCACTGCTGCTGAATAAATTGCAAGCACTGCAGATATCTGTGTATATGTAACTGTGACAAGGTACACCTGGGGCAATGAAATCCCAAGAAAACTGTTAATTATCTCTATCTTTTCAAGTGGATAGGTGCAATAGCACCTGGACATAATGCTCCAGATACAAGCATTTAAGGTGAAAAGCACTTTTAATTGAGTTTCACATGTGACTTAGGTTCTCTTTATGAGTGTATTGTTAAATGTATGTAATCATCTGTGGAGAGTCATTGCAGAGGAATAGGGACACAGAATCTTGAGGTGAAGATCTGCATCCTTGGCTGTTTCAGTCACTCTTTAACCCTAAAAAATGCAAATGACACAGGAATGAAAACAATGTCTTAGGTTGCTTCTAAATGCCCCTTGGAATGGGATTTGATGACTTAAAAAAAGTCCTTTGATATCATCTTAATGGACCTCTTCTGCAATTAAGTGAATCATTAGGTAGCGTTTGGTGCTCGTACAACAAGGTAATTAGCAGAAAAATAGAGTTGGGAGAGGTGTGAATGGTGGAGAGGGGAGGAGGATACCAAGCTGTTCCTGTTGTGTCCAGCATGAGGGGAAGCTAATAAAGGGACAGGCCAGGAGGAGCAGGCCAGGTGGGGAGTCAGGCTGAGCTACACTGCCGAGCCTTTCACAAGCTCATCTGGACTCATTATTCCATTTCAGAAATGAGAAAACGGAGTGATGAGTGCAAGCAAACAGCAGACACTCACGCACACTCACACACGTATACACAAACACCTGCCCTTGCACTCTTATAAACCCCAGTAGGCTGGGGTTTAATCTGCACTGAAGTCCTTGAGAAATAATGAAGGGTAATGAAGGAAGCAGCAACAATGCAACTATTAGGCAACATTAATGATTCATGCTACATTTAGGAAATAAAACGGTCTCAAAAACTGAGCATGGTCTAATTTGTATTTAATTTTTTTTTTACTGTCCTAGTATTTCTTATTGTATGCTTGTTTATGTGGTCGGATGTGTAAAACATAGATTTGAGGGTTAGTCTAAAAGTATTATT